ATGCTTTCTGTTCAGATGCGCGAACAAAAACCCTCTTTCGGACTGGATAAGGTTTACAATATATTTCACCATTTTTAGCTAAGAAGTCTCAAAAAGCTATTTTGTTCTCTCGAAGTATTAAATTTAGTACTGACACTTATATACCTGCTAGACAATGAATCAAAATATTACAATTATTGTTAACAGCTTGATCCATAAATTCATAACATGATTCAAATTCACCTAATAAATTTATTATATCATTGTCCTGTGCATTTACATATTTTCGAATTCTTCTATCATAGAGATAGTATAGATAGTCAAATTGTATCTGAATTCTTTTTGTTCAGATGTTTGATTGTACAAACGTGGATCCAATCCTAGATGAAACTGATTGGTCATCGTAAACTCTTTATTCAGTAATAATTTGGCATCATGAGCCATAACGTCCTGTAGGGACCATTTGTCGTTGAAGTCTTTGTTTAATTGTAAACAAAATTCACAATCACAGTAATTCAATTTATCGCCGTACTGTTGTTGTACATTAATAAAGTTTCCAATAATATTGATGTCATCTTCAAACAAATTATATTGAATTAAATCGTATAATTCCGATCTACCTCCCCATGAATAAATTGTTGTTTCTGTTTTCAGAAATTCAGTTAACATAGATTTCAACTGGGTGTAGGTCTGTTTACTGGGATGTGGCAATTGTTTAAATTAAATTAACAATATTAACGATGATTCATCAGGTACAATAAGTTGTAATAACACTGGTACATTGGGTTTTCCGGATGTCATTTTACTTTCGGTGTCAATGGAAAATTTACTGGCAGACTGAATCTTTTGTATATATTCATCATATTCACATTGCTTTGTTCATTTATTGGCGAACTTGTATTGATAGTTTGTTGGAATGAATGGAGGATATTTAATTGAATACTGATAGTTTTTCAATTTTGATCTCATTTGGCGTCTTTTATTTTTAGATAAATTCTATTCTCTCTTTTTTAAATCAATTTTAATTTGGTCGGCTTCAGTTTTGGTGATCATTTCTAAAGAATATGAGAAAGAAAGACGTGATTATCAAATCCCTTTAAGTTCTAATGAATGCTCGCTTGTGTTCTAAAGGCTGTCCTTAATGAATGAATTCTTTCCAATACTAATTTCTCTTATCAATATTAAAGTTCCTGCTGCTAGTCGACTTAGTTTCGAAAACTGTTTTAATAAGAATGATAGATTTCACAATAATTCATCAAAATAGAATATCGGTCTATCTAGCCAGTGGGTTAGCTAGACTCGCCGGCTAACATTACTTCCACTATTCCTAAACTCAAAGTGAAAAATGCCCTAATTAGCATCGAATCGACCTGACGCTCGATTCCATTAGTTCATTCATTTTCTTGCAAATAACGGTAACAATGTATCTGTTGTCACTTGTTTGATTAATGTTACTTTTTTCAGGTGTTGTACGATATAAGTTTTCGTTCCTTGTTTTTCAATAATTTTGTATGGTCCTTCATAACGAATGTCGAATTTATATCTCATTCCTATTACTTTGATTAAAACTAATTCGCCACAAAGAAAAACTAGATCTTTTCGATTCAAATCATATCTGTCTTGCTGTTGGTTCTTCAAAATATTTTCACCAGCTGTTCCAGTTAGTGTTGCTAAATAATCTTGTAATTTCTTTTCTCTCTAAATAGTCAATCAATGACGAACAAAATTATATTGACAGTTTTACCACTTTACTCTTTCTTTTCTCACTGTCTTTCAACACTTCACACCACTCACTTACACAAATAATGTTTAAAGAAAATCCATCAGTTTTTTCTAGTAAAGAAGTTGTTTTTCAAGAAGATTAACTCAAATCATGTGTCGGGTTTTATAATCTTGTTTATATATTTCTTTAACAGAAAAGGGTGAAGGATGTTATTTAAACATTACTTGTATAAGTGAGTGATGGAAGAAAGTGAGAAAAAAAAAGAGTAAAGTGGCAAAACTGTCAATAGGATGTCAATAGGATTTTGTTTGTCATTTAATTGACGATTTAGAGAAAATATTTTTAAATGAAAAAGCTAAAAGAGTTGGAATAAAAGAAACACAAATGTTTTCACATTTGATGTTTCTCTCTTCCATTGCATAAACATACTGCTTTATTGGAGGTAGCCTGTTTCCGTCTTAGTCTCTCGCAAAAACTCAAGCAGTAATCTTTCTACAGGTAAATTTGCTATACCGTTGTTCCAAAAGTCAATATACAATAAAGAATTTTAAAAACTGTGTGATTTCTTAATCAAACATCAAGATTGTTTTTTGTTTGACAAAGAAACTTCCCAAGGTTTGTTGCATATGATTGGAAATTTGTCTTAATACTTGAGAAAATGTTTCAGTTTATTATAGGCATATTTAGATATTTTGGAACTCTTTTTGAATAAATTATGTATTGCAATAATTTTGGAAAGAACATAAATGATTTTTAATATTAAAATTAAGTAGATGATGTCCAAAGTGCAAAAAAAGTAATAAAAATCTTTCACAGGTAAATTTAACTAATAAAAGGAAAAACGACTAGTGGAATTTTATACAAGGAAGACAGACAGCCCTATAAACTGAAATAGTTTGAAAGTCTGTAAAAACTTGTATCAGACTATTGCAGAAGCAGAAATCCATAGCTCATGCTAATATCGATAAATTAATTTCTTGAAGCAAATTTCTAAGTTGGAAAATATACTTGAATATGCAGGATTGTAGAGAAATTTGAGCTGTACAAAACGAGACGTAGTACTACGAGAACAAAGATTCCTTGCAATTACGACAAACTCAACACTCTTTACGTACTATTATAAGCACTTACACAGACAACATATGTTCTAAATTTTGTTATTTTTTCGCACTGGTCCTTTTTACACAATTATTTCCAATCATACGAAATAAAACTTGGAACATTTCTCTATCAAACAAAAAGCAATTTTGACGTTTGATTACAAAATGACAGAATTATTAAAACTTTTTATTGGATACTGACTTTTGGAACAACACTACATCTCGCCTGAACTTTTTGAACTTTTCAATCCCATCAGTTTTTTCTTATATTTGCTTTAGTATTGTTTTTTCTCGTTCAGTAATAAAGCAGAAAGTAGTATGTCCGTGTAAAGAATGGCAGAGAACAACGACATTATTAGTAATTTTGACAACGTTAGTCATGATACTGCAGCAATTAAACAATATCTGGCACTGATAAAAGTGGAAGATCTAGACAGAATTGAGCCAAATGATAGTGCTGATTTACAGGCATCGTCTTACCCGGGACACGGGATCCTCTCGCAATTCTTAGGAAATCTAGGTTTTAATGTCAAAAAACAAACCACTCGACTTACTCCCAGTTCTACCGATCGTGAATGGATGTTGGTAGATTCGAAAAATATAGCGCAGATGGCGAAAAACTATCGACAGTCGTTAAAAGATACATGGGAAAAAATTCTTTTAAATCTATAGTTAAAGCCGTTAGATGTATGTATGTCGATGTTGATTTGAAAAGCGTCGATCAGAAAGACCAAATTCAGCAGTTTCTGCGACAAGCAGAAGAGGAAGATGATGTACAATATGTTGTAAAAGCATACACTGCATCGACAGGCTTCTACAAAAATTAAATGAAGATTTAGCAAGTCTAGTAGAAGCAAAGAATGAAAATAAACCTGAAATAAATTTTAAAAATTACTTGTTCTATTCGGAAGGACCGCTAGATATCGTTACGATACTTATTCATGATCCCAAACTTGAAAAACTGGGTTTTAACGGTCAAACTTTTCGAGGTATGAACGTTTTAACTGAAGATCTTCATCGTTACACCATTGGGTCGCGTATAATGACAAAAACAATTTTATCTACATCTAAAAAATTAGATGTGGCTAAAATATACCTCGATGATAGCAAACAGGACCCAAGTATTTCTCCTGTATTGTGTATATATGTCATAAAAAATCATTGAACAGCATTAGAAATCGAATCAATATCACAATTTCCAATAGAAAAAGAAGTGATCATTTTGCCATATACTGTATTTGAAGTTACAAATAAAAAAGGTAACGATGTGACGAACAGAGTAGATATAGAACTTGAAGAATACTAATTTGGTTAATACAGAAAGGTAGTCTTGCGGACTGCGCGCATACTAAAAACTATTATCCGTTCCAGAAGTCAAGGCACTCGATTGTTTTCTGAATAACTTTTGATAGGAACAAGGTGGAGACCTGCGATTTTCGTCATTCGAAAGAGGAGACTTGGATGCATGTTTTCATAACCAA